TTTTCATAAGGTTAACTTTCATTTCTAATAAGTTAAATTAAGTAAGTCCCTTTGCGACAGATAAAAAAATTAAGAAAGGATAAAAATATTATGGTAAGAAAGGATAAAAATATTATGGTAAATAAGGATAAAAATATTATGGTAAGATAGTAAGAAAGGATAAAAATATTTTAGTAATATAGTAAGAAAGGATAAAAATATTATGGTAAAAAAGGTTAAAAATATTATAGTAAGAAAGGATAAAAATATTATAGTAAGATAGTAAGAAAGGTTAAAAATATTATAGTAAGAAAGGATAAAAATATTATAGTAAGAAAGGATAAAGATATTATAGTAAGAAAGGATAAAAATATTATGGTAAGAAAGGATAAAAATATTATAGTAAGAAAGGATAAAAATATTATAGTAAGAAAGGATAAAAATATTATGGTAAGAAAGGATAAAAATATTATAGTAAGAAAGGATAAAAATATTATAGTAAGAAAGGATAAAGATATTATGGTAAGAAAGAATAAAAATATTATGGTAAGAAAGGATAAAAATATTATGGTAAGAAAGGATAAAAATATTATAGTAAGATAGTAAGAAAGGATAAAAATATTATGGCAAGAAAGGTTAAAAATATTATAGTAAGAAAGGTTAAAAATATTATAGTAAGAAAGGATAAAAATATTATAGTAAGATAGTAAGAAAGGATAAAAATATTATGGTAAGAAAGGTTAAAAATATTTTAGTAAGAAAGGATAAAAATATTATAGTAAGGAAGGATAAAGATATTATGGTAAGAAAGGATGAAAATATTATAGTAAGAAAGAATAAAGATATTTTGGTAAGAAAGGATGAAAATATTATGGTAAGAAAGGATAAAAATATTATGGTAAGAAAGAATAAAGATATTTTATAGTAAGATAGTAAGAAAGGATAAAAATATTATGGCAAGAAAGGTTAAAAATATTATAGTAAGAAAGGTTAAAAATATTATAGTAAGAAAGGATAAAAATATTATAGTAAGATAGTAAGAAAGGATAAAAATATTATGGTAAGAAAGGATAAAAATATTATGGTAAAGGATAAGTTAGAGGATGAAAATAAAAGAGAGAATGAATATAAATGAATTGACTGATAAATAAGGAAGGATGAATGAAAGGATGTATGAGGATGAAAGGTAGAATGAATGAATGAATGAATGAGGTTGAGATCTGAATGTCTGTTTGTCGATGTACTTTGATACTGTTCCTTTTTATCTGAAGTTGTCGAACAAGAAGTTGAATTGTCCTTTTCTACATATTTTATCATTGATCGGTGTCAGGAATTCAAAGGAATCAGATCAGTTTAATTCAATAGGTGTGGGGGAGGGGAGGGGAGGGGAGGGGAAGGGGAGGGAGAAAAAGTGGGTTTGAAAAAGAATCTAAGAATGTAAAAGAGGGTTAACGGTAAAAATTGGTTATTAAAGGGACAAGAATGTTTAAATTGGGGTAAATGGTAAAAGAATGAATAAAAGGGTGGTAAATGGAAGAAAATGGTAAAAGAATGAATAAAAGGGTGGTTAATGGAGGAAAATGGAAAAAGGGTGGTAAGTGATGAAAGCATGTTAAATAGCAAAAGATAATGCAAATGGGTTTAATATAGATTTCTTTAAAAACCTCTGAATTCTTTGTTTTTCAATATTCATTGCGCAATTATTGAACCATTACAAATGATTACTTAAGTCGTCTTTCTTTTCCACAATTTTATGGGTCTCACTTTGTTTCATTAGAAAATTCAATCATTTTAAAGCGATAACTTTGTATTTTTTAAAGTCCAAATAGACTTTGTATTTAATTCATTACCTTTAGACGAAAATATTATGTGCACAATGATATGAAAAAAATGGTGTATAAGGATACAGATAAAAACCAATTTGGGGTAATGTATTCTAAAATAACTCTTCTACCGAAAAAAAGACAGAATAAATTATTGTTCTTAGTTTGACTTTTGTTAAACAGCGCTAATTTTGAATAATGTTGGAAACAGGCACAGATCACACAGATAGTACAAGAGTAATAGATGTTGATTTAAATCAGCAAATGTTTGATATTTTAATTTATTGCTTCCAATTTTACCTGGGTTCGCATAAGTCTTGCAACTTGCTTGGGCCAAGGCGCTGCGACGATTTAAAGTTAACCAAGTCTCGGAACTTGATGCAATTTTGCATAGTTGTTTAGATCTATGTGATGAAGAATTATCAGATATTTTGATATAAATAAACTCTTCCACAATTATGTTTTGATCGCTGAGAGGTTAATTTCAACAACTCTATATATGTCTCTCTAGAATCAATAAAATTTGTGGAAATTGAGTTGTTTTAGACAGATTCTACCTCTCTAGTACTATCTGTAAAATCTGTGGGAATAGAGTTGTTTACGTCAGATTCTACCTCTCTAGTACTATCTGTAAAATCTGTGGGAATAGAGTTGTTTACGTCAGATTCTACCTCTCTAGTACTATCTGTAAAATCTGTGGGAATAAAGTTGTTTACGTCAGATTCTACCTCTCAAGTACTATCTGTAAATTCTGTGGGAATAGAGTTGTTTACGTCAGATTCTACCTCTCTAGTACTATCTGTAAAATCTGTGGGATTAGAGTTGTTTACGTCAGATTCTACCTCTCTAGTACTATCTGTAAAATCTGTGGGAATAGAGTTGTTTACGTCAGATTCTACCTCTCTAGTACTATCTGTAAAATCTTGGGAATAGAGTTGTTTACGTCAGATTCTACCTCTCTAGTACTATCTGTAAAATCTGTGGGAATAGAGTTGTTTACGTCAGAATTTTCAACATGCAAGTTGAGTATAATAGTATATATTACAGACCTCAGCTTACAATATTACAAAACATTTACTTAGCAACATCTACAGCTCTACAGGGCTGCCCAGAATCATTTAGAATCAAAAGACGACAAACCCGGTTTTTTGTGGAAAAGGTTTTTTATTCTTTTTTTATTTTGCAATTTTGAAATATTCTCTATAAGTCAATGTTGAAATATTCTCTATAAGTCAATGTTGAAATATTCTCTGTAAGACAATGTTGAAATATTCTCTGTAAGTCAGTGTTGAAATATTCTCTATAAGTCAATGTTAAAATATTTTTTTAAGTAAATGTTAAAATATTCTCTAAAAGTCAAGTATTTTGTTTAAAATTATAAATCTATATTGGAATATCTCACAATTTTTCTCATTCCCAACATAATTTTGAAAAAAAAATCGAAAATGTTGAGATTATTTTGTAGTTTGATATAAAAAAATGCTTAAAACAGTTTTTAAAAAAATGTAAGGACAATTTTAAATTTATTGTTCTTCTGTTATAGTTTGTTCCCGTGGTCAGTCTCTTTCAGGGACAATTTTTTTAACAAAAAAATAATAGAATAAAACATATGTAAATGGCTGTACAGAGAAATGCACGAAAAAGTCAAAGTACACAATTGTCTCCTAAATTTTGACCCACTCATAAATTAGATGGAACCCGATACAGTCGGTGGGTAGAGGGTGTATAAAGATAACAAAAAAACAATCCTTATCTTAACCATGGTCCCAAACCTATTCCTATTCATACAGCCCCTGCTAAAATCAAGAATACCTCATAAAATAAAGACATTTTTTTACTCTACACTCTTTCTGCATTCTACCGTTCAACTGCAAGGTTTTAAAGAGGTTTTAAATACTCTTTTTTAATTTGAATTTAGAACTTTTAGCGAGCATAAAAAGCAAATAATGCAGATTATTTCACACCCTCTCTAATCTGTATCTCGTAAATTCTTGCCTTTACGTCACGTTTTGAGCAATTTACAATTGGTCATGGTAAAAAATGTCTCATTAACGGGACTGAGTAAGTTCAAGTACGACTAAACATCATATCCTTTTAACCTTTATTTGACCAAGGAATACACGAGATATCCATCCAACTTTTGTTCAAAATTAAGTATTTTTACACTGTTAGTAATTCACATTTCTTTGTACACATAATTAAGGGGTAATGGTACTGCAATGCTTTCATTAGGTGGTCACTTGAAATCACTTTTCTGCAGCCCCATTCATTTTCTTGCTTTGGCGTTTTTGAGCTTTAATGAAACAATTGTGAACGTTTCATCTTGCAGCATTAAATAAAAAGAACAAGATCAACCTATATATATATATATATGCACGATTCCACTGAAAGAATGCAACGTCACATGAATCTATTTAAACTATAACGTAAATTTAAGCTTAACTCCGCCTTTAACCTACAATACAGCATATGCAGTAAAATGCACATCTAGCTTTTATTTTCAACCGTAAAAAAGTGCGTTTTGAAAAAGACCTTTATGTTGCAAAAAAAGAAAACTTATTGTTCAATATAAAACACTACAAGCCAGATAACGTACAAATATTATCTATTTTACATAGTCATTTGACATGTAGGGATGTTCATCGTTTTCGAAAAGCGTTTTGGATTTTTCAAAACTTACTAACGTTCGTTTTTAGAAAAAAACGAATTGTTAAATTTAACGAAGTGTTAGTTTTGAACTTTTGAAAAAGAAAAACGAAAGGACAAAACGATCGTTTTTGTTTAAATTTTATTTAATCAAATTTTATCGTTAAAAGCAATTAAGGTTTATGAATCTTTTTTCCATTTTGAAAAGATCGTTTCGTTTTTTCTTCTTAAAAACTATCATAACTTAGTTTAATCCCTCAAAACAACCGTTTCGTTTTCAGATTGGTTTCATCCTTAAGGAAACGAAACGATCGTTTTTCAAATATTAAAAACTGCCCATCCCTAATGACATGATTAAAAAATTCTAAATAAAGACAAGAAAGAAATGTGTTATTTATTTCAGCTAAGTAACATGAAAAAATGTGTTACCGTTACGACCTGATACCTAGGGACCTCAAGAAAAATCTAAGAAAAATATCTCAGAAAAATGACTCTGAAAAATGTCTCTGAAAAATTTCTCTGAAAAATGTCTCTGAAAAATATCTCAGAAAAATGTCTCTGAAAAAAGAAAAACAAACATTTCTTCGTTCAATGCTAAGGTAAGTTTAAGTGAAATTAAAGGAACTCTCGACCTAATTTTAAATCGGTACCCTTTAAACCTTTGCCTGATCAGCAATGACGGATAAATCCTTGTTTATCTCACTTAAAAATTCAGGTAACTGGAGTGTATAATCCTGGTGGCCATCACAAACTCAATGCAATTAATTAATATATTTTCGGAACTAAAGAATTCTCGGAAACGGAATATTTGATGTTCAGTAAATGCTGGAAAAAATATATTAGTATTTTTTCATGCAAAACAGCTTGCATACAAAGTTAAAAACAATTACAAGCGTTTCTGCGGAAAATCACTAAAATTTCACTTTAATGAGTCAAAGATTGGAAGGGTAACATTGTGAATAGTATGTGTATCCCTTCCCCCCTTGATGCGGCTAAGGGCCATTCCAGCCAAAAGTTATGAAGTTGTAAATTTCAAATTTTTAAAGGATGCTACATGTGTATATGTATGTATCTGCCTAGAAAAGGTTGTAAGATCCTGAACCTAAACCACAAGTAGATTTAACTGCCATCTTTACTTCTTTTTATTGTTCGTAAACCATACATCAACAAACTTGCATTAGCTTGCAGTGTGCAGTCTTTTGTACCTACAGGGTGTAAAAATCATATATTTTGTACATTCAGGGTGTAAAAATCATATATTTTGCACATACAGAGTGTAAAAATCATATATTTTATACGTTCAGGGTGTGAAAATCATATATTTTGTACCTACTGGGTGTACAAATCATAAATTTTGTACCTACAGGGTGTAAAAATCATATATTTTGTACATTCAGGGTGTAAAAAATCATATATTTTGTACCTACATGGTGTAAAAATCATATATTTTGTATCTACAGGGTGTACAAATCATATTACACTTTAAAACCAAAGCTTACAACAAGTGCTTTATAGTGTTAAATACATGTAAAGGGTTACAGAAAAAAACATTAGTGAGTTAGAGATTTAAAATCTAAGCCCAAGGCGTTGCGACACTTCAAAGTCGACCCTGTCCTAAAATCTATGATAACTGTTTATAGGCAGGCTGAATCTATGTGACAGGGTGTAAGATCATATATTTTGTACATACACCCTGAAAGCATCATTTATTCTATACCCATATGGTGTAACACTATGTATATTGTATACAAGTATTACAACTTTGGGGGTATATTAATATTTTGTAAGTTCATATTGTGTATACAAATTGTTTTATGTGACAAACATTGAAAAATAACTTGCTCTCAGCAATTAGATGTTTTTTAAAGTTTAAAACAATTCATCAAACATTTCAATAGTTTTAAAAAAAAAAAAAAGAACATAACTGTTTCCTTTTATATTCCCTTTGTTTTGCAACCAAATGTCGTGAACATTGATATTTCAAACTATGAATTCTGATAAATCAAATCATCAATGTTTGAAATTTTACGCCATCAGGTTGCAAAGATAGATATTAGAAATTTTGAGTTTAAGGCAAGTAATCAGTTCCTTCCAAAAAATTTGTGTAGAAATCTTTACTTTTAGTTCGGATGATTTGAATGATGTAAAATATTATGAAGAAAATGAAGAGAATGAAGAGAATGAAGAGAACGAAGAGGATAAAGAAGATATTGTTGAAAACCCTGAGAACTTCAAGAACAATGAAAACGCTCAAGATCAAAAAGGTAACTTTCATTAAATATTTATTTGTAAGAACTAAAAAGAATTAAGATAAAAGATTGTCACCATAATAATGAGCGGTCTAAACATAAGTATTTCACGACTCACAAAAGTGTTCTTTAAACACAAAGACAGTTGAATATTTTAACAGAACTGAAAGGGAAACGTTGGTTTGTTTAAACACAAAGACAGCTGAATATTTTAACTGAACTGAAAGGGAACACGTTGGTTTGTTTAAACACAAAAACAGTTGAGTATTTTAGCAGAACTGAAAGGGAACAGGTTGGTTTGTTTAAACACAAACACAGTTGAATATTTTAACAGAACTGAAAGGGAACACGTTGGTATGTTTAAACACAAAGACAGCTGAATATTTTAACAGAACTGAAAGGGAACACGTGGGTTTGTTTAAACACAAAGACAACTGAATATTTTAACAGAACTGAAAGGGAACACGTGGGTTTGTTTAAACACAAAGACAACTGAATATTTTAACGGAACTGAAAGGGAACACGTGGGTTTGTTTAAACACAAAGACAGCTGAATATATTAGCAGAACTGAAAGGGAACACGTTGGGTTGTTTAAACACAAAGACAGCTGAATATTTTAACAGAACTGAAAGGGAACACGTTGGTTTGTTTAAACACAAAGACAGTTGACAGAACTGAAAGGGAACACGTTGGGTTGTTTAAACACAAAGACAGCTGAATATTTTAACAGAACTGAAAGGGAACACGTTGGTTTGTTTAAACACAAAGACAGTTGAATATTTAACAGAACTGAAAGGGAACACGTTGGGTTGTTTAAACACAAAGACAGACCAGGTGGTTATTTTACATAACTGTCCCAAGGGACGTGAAGTAACTTAACTTTATCTGTTGGGGGAATCAAAGGTCGGTAATGTTAGTCAAAAGGTTGTAAAAAAAAATTTTGGATAATGAGGATTTCTGAAAAGTACCTTGTTAGTCATATTTGTTTGTGAAAAAGTAAGAAATCTTTTACGTTAAAATTATTACATATGATTGTGAATTTGGATTATTTGATCTTATTTTTTGATTTAAAAAAATGAAGCCTTTCAGTGAGAGGGGACTAAACTGAATTTTGGAAAGTTCTGAAAATATCGTTAAATATCTTGAATAGACTTAGATATTTAATCAGAGAATCCAGGAATTATTTAATTGACAGTTTCTGTGTGAACAGAGCTGAAAACTTTAGAATGGGATATCCTTAATCCTGATCGTTCCATTAATCTGGAGATTAATAACAAGAGAAGAACAAGCATTATTTAATCTGGAGATTAAGAAAAAGAGTCGATCAAGCCTCAATCCCGATATCCACCATTCAAAAGTTCCTAGCTCTGATGTCAGAATTTTTGAATTGCGAATCTTGGGATCTGGGATTGATCTCCATCTCAAAAAAAAATAAAGGATTGACTTCCATATTCCTCTTTAATATGCCTTAGTGGATATACCCTACAGGGGTAGCTTAAGAATGTCCCAAATGGATATCTATATTAGGGATTAGTCCGCATTCCAAAGTGATCCACAATACTGTTTTGAAGTAGCCAACTTTAAAAATGTCGCCAAGGTCTTTGCTTTTCTTGGACCTTAGCCTCCTAAAGTACAACGTACACGGTACAGAGTAACCCACAAAGAATGAAACCTCAATGACGTCCAAAATATTTTCCCATCAAAACATAGCTTCTGATCTTGCGAAGCATAGGAGTCAATCAAACCATTTACAATTGATTAATTGATTTCCAAGACTCGCCGGACTGAAATGAAAAGTACATCTGATATTTTAACGTTGTTTTTAATGACAAAGTGATGGTACAACATCATTAACTTGCTGTCAACTTAATTGTTCTATAAATTAAAAATATATATTTTCCTCTATCTATCTATCTATCAATTTATCTATCTATCTATCTATCTATCTATCTATCTATCTATATATCTTTCTATCTATCTATTTATCTATATCTATCTATCTATCTATCTATCTTTCTATCTATCTATCTATCTATCTATCTATCTATCTATCTATATATCTATCTATCTATCTATCTATCTATCTATCTATCTATCCATCTATCTATCTATTTATCTACCTATCTATCTACTATCTATCTATCCTTCTATATATCTATATATATATCCTTCTATCTCTTGTTCATCTATCTATCTTTATATCGGATTTTCTATCTATCTATCTATCCTTGTCAGAGGGTCAGTTATTTTATTTTAACGATGTGTCTCCCTCCTCTTATATATACCGAGGGAGGGATGGCAAGCCCCAACAACAATGTTCTACCTCTTCAGAGGCACTTTACAATACCCTGAAGAACTTTTAAACTTTTTATTAAAAAAATTAAACGAAATCAGTGTCAAGTGAATTTTTGAGGTGGCTCGTTTTAATATCGAGTTAACTGTGGCTCGGGTGTTGCAACCCTCCCCAACTATTACACATGACCTATTACACAAAAGTGGCACGTCGCAATATAATTTATAAATGTCTGGGTTATCTTAGAAAATGACAGGAATAAAGAACCACTATCCGATATATCTATTTATAAATATATATATATATATATATATATTATCCAGACATTGTATATTATAGTTAATTAAAGAGACTGTTCACGAATATTCATTTTCATTTAAAGAGTTAAGTTCCCAATTCACAACCATACCTTTTCCCCTTTTATGGGGAAAAATTTGGGGAGTATAAATGTTTTCTATCTGAGTGAATTAGTTAATCAATTACAATAACAATGACTTGTGGTTATGCAGCAGAGACAAGAAAGAAATTCGACAAAATTTATTTTTATCTTCTGAGAAAACTCACGATATTTTCATTATAAACACACCATCACAACACACAATTTTCTAACTTCTTTTTTAATATTTCTTAATAACTAGTTTTATTTTTAATTCCCCTTGCCCCCTGACCCCCCAACCCTCCTTGAACCTCTCCTTAAAATTTTGTTGTAATTGCTTAAAATCTTAAAACGTATTATCTGATAACTCAAATTTTACTTTTAAGCATTACTGCACTTTCAATACGTTGGTGGTCCTAAAATCCTCTAAATCGTGTTTAACATAAAGATCGTAACGCGCGCCAACTCTTTCACTTTTCTCAAAATAAATGAAAGGTCATTAATTGTTCTAGTTGCAGAACTTCAATACAATGTGTTTAACATCCCTAACATGTTGCTCGATATATCGCATTTATAACTTGATGTTGGGAATATCATTCTGGATATATACAGAGTTACTCTCAATGGAAAAGAATTCAGAGACGACTTGATAAATATATACTGTCTGCTTCCTTATATTCACCATGGATCCCTGCAACTATCAACTCATTTCGTTCTTTGTCAAATCTAAGAATAATACATAAAATTCAGATCGTATTTACAGTCTCATCCTTTATGGGTAACCCTGCACTTTTTTGAATAAAATTATGTTCATTTTGAATTGCTTTCGGTGGTTCAATCTAATTTTTTCAGTTAGGCTTTTAATTTCATCAAATCCACTAAAAGAGGTTCGAAAATAAATCGCATAAAGATAAATTCAATTTTTTGACGTTTGTTCAAACATTTTTTTCTGAAGAGTTGCCAGAGAGTCTAGACTTCATAATTTTATATCTTTTTTATGTTTTAAACTTGAATTCACATTGAGGGTCAATAAACATTTTACGCTTTGGAACACCTTTCTTCTATTCAAAATTTACACGTAAATATATCTGGGTATTCTCAATGGATGACACCCCATATTTGTGATTACTGGTGAGCCCCGCCCCTATAAAGGATTTCAACAATATGTAATGACTCATTCATCTATAATCTATATACAGTGAGAACCAGAAAACTCTGGAATAGGAAGACGACTTTTACACTCAAGTTATAACTTAATAGTCCAATGAACACGAGACCACATTAACTGTACTTTGGGAATAGACCCATTTAACTTAATAAGTGATTTAATAAGTTAGTAGTAAATTATTTGCTCTGTAACAAGATCAAATACAAGTATCGCTATAATAGCATCTTCATTTCCTACTATTTTCTCGTTCTCACTAACCTGAGTGCTGATTATTATGTAATAAACAAATATTTAAAGGTTCTTATTTCGTATTCTAATTCAAAAGACTCTTCGTTAATAAAGTTTAAGTTACGATATACTTGAGGAAATCGTCTGTTAAGTAAACACATTTCAAGCTAGATATACGATTATATTTTACACATTTTTGATAACATTAAGATTAAGCTGGTACCTTTGGTAATCATGCATGAAAGTATTTTTTATTTAAAATTATGACTTCAGCCACTTTAAATATTTTATTTTTTCTAGGTATTAAATCGAGGCCTAGAGAGGATGAAACTTCCTTTCAGCATGGTAGGCTCAGCAAATCTGTTCCAAACTTGCATTTTGTTTCTTCGAATCTTCATTTGTATCATGAACAGTCTGACCGTTACAAAAAACGTTTCAGACCCCTTCGCTTGTTCAAGCCTTTTAAGGAAAACCGTTTAAAACTGGCATATTATCCTTTGCCATGGAAATCTAAAGCTATGGATTTACGACATAACAGGCTATTTGCTGATTTTGCATGGAATAATCATGAAAGTGATGAAGAAGTAGGTGATAAGCGTATTAAACTTGATGATGAAGCTCTGAAAAATCCTCAAATTGCTGAAGAAGTAAGGGATAACCACATTAAACTTGATGATGAAGCTCTAAAAAATCCTGAAATTGCTGAAGAAGTAAGTGATAAACATATTAATCTTGATGATGAAGCTCTGAAAAATCCTGAAGTTTCTGATGAAGTAAGTGATAAACATGTTAATCTTGATGATGAAGCTCTGAAAAATCCTGAAGTTTCTGATGAAGTAAGTGATAAACATATTAAACTTGATGAAAACTGTTCTAGGAAATTTGAATTTGCATCCACCTATGAATTAGGTTTGTATTTTGCTGGACAGGGTTCCGGAGAAAAGAATGCAGATTCTGAGATCTCCCGATCTTATCTTCCTTCCTCCAAACATACAGAGCATACCAGAATAAGGAGTAAGATTATGAAATCCCAAAAAGAAGACAATGATTGTTCCAGTGATGATACAGAAGACAACTATACTAATGAGGTAGCTCAACTATTAGAAGATGAAGAAATCTTTTCTAAAAATCAAGAAAGTCTTAAAGTTTCTGAAACATACTCAGCACAATGTATATATATTGTTAATTCGGATCCAGACGAAACAGATAATGAAACCACTCTTCCTGAACCTCCAATAGAGGACGCACAGGGGAATCTTAAGAAAGAAGCATATAAAAATGTATACAAGGACGCATATAAGAATATAGACAAGGACGTACAGGAAAATCTTTACAAAGACGCACAAAAAAATCCAAACAAGGACGCACATAAGAATCCAAACAAGGACGCACATAAGAATCTAAATTTATTAATGGATCCTAAAACTATTTCTCCGGGACTATCAGGATTTAAAGCCCAACATAAACCTCATGATCTCGGGTTCGTGTGCGTAAATAATACGCATGACTCTACGCTGCACTGGAATACGAAAGTGCATAAACGTGGTCCTATAAATCCTAATTCGGAATACATCTTAAATGCTAATTTTCGGCCGGAACACAGTTATATCCTTAATCCGCCAGTTCGTCCTGAGCTCAGAAAACTTTCAAGTGCTGAGAGACATTCTAAGCTCAAAGAGTCGCAATCCTCTCTGAACCCTGGATTGAGAGATAGTCCAAACATAGAGAACCCAAGAGATCTTATTAAACTCCAGGAGTGTCTAAAAGCTCTAGTTTATCCTCGACCCGGAGATTGCATAAGTCCGACTACTCTTACAACATCTAAAGCAAACTGCAATGCTAAAATGTATTCTGAATCCTCTGAAGATTTCTGTTCAGGAGTTCCTCTTGACAATAAAAATTCTGTCTACTGCTCTGAGTGTAGATCTAGTTCTGCTCCCAACCTAACTCCGGGTATACAATTCAATACAGATCCGACTAGATATTATCCTATACAACCCAACCATGGGAAACATAGGTGTTCGACTCAGGGGGTCTCGGATGATAAGGGGGGTCAGGAGACCCCAGATATTCATAGATATCCTTTCAATACTGATCTTATCCGTCCTTACACTACCAAGGCTACGTATGAAAAAAGTCTGAATAAAATTAGACGGATTGAATATGAACATGATTATGGCACCAGGGGTAGAATGCATCAACTGCATTCTGTCAACTTATCAGATTTAAACCAGAAGAAAAATATTAAATCCCAGGGTTCTATCCACAAGTATTCTCAGTTTAAAAACGAAGAACAAGTCCAAAGGTATACAGGGTTACATTTACTTACTTACTGACTTTGCTTGCATTTACTTCACATAATAATACGTCAATCCCCCCCCCCCCATATGCATGTTTAGTTTTTACTTAATATTGTGTGACTAACATGTTTCCCAAAAAAGTAACGTTGCATAATCAAAAGGAATCACGTCGAATCAAAATGCATTAAAAATGTGAAAAAATTCATTTTATGGAAACATTTCAAATGTAGATTTTTTTAAATTTCTTATCCTATATTATTTCTAACTACCTCTGTATAAGTTTTCTTTTCTGCCCCTTTTCCCAGTCTTTTTTGAAGTTTTGTCCGCGTATTTGAAACCCCCCTGTAACATGAAGTTATTTGAAACCCCCTCTGTAACATGAAGTTATTTGAAACCCCCTCTGTAACATGAATGATAATTACCCAATCATATACACTGTATTAAAGGGACTGTAAGATAATTACCCAATCATATACACTGTATTAAAGGGACTGTAAGCTTGACCCTCCATGCAAAGATGGCAATGTCCAATTTACAACAGCACTCTTAAAACCTTTATCAATGTGGAAGATATTGTCGTTTTACTACAGGGTGTCCCAAAAAACATGGGAATTCAGTGACGAATTCGATATCGTCTTTGTTATGAATTAGCATTGTAATACCTAATTTCAAAAGCCATAATATTATTATGTCTGCTAGAGTTTATTTAATGAAAAGGGTAAAAGACTGAAAAGATGTGTCTATATTGTCTCCGCAAGATGAACAGTGAATATGGACAAGTTTACTCTGTTTGTATACTGTAATTTTCTTGTTTTACTAAGTTTAACCGGTTGCAGTCAAAACATAAACAAACAAAATGTAAACATAGCAGACGAAACTCTTACAGATTACAGCTTTCTCAGTAGGTATCACTATACTAAATCAAAGAATTATTCATGAAGACGATATCGAATTCGTCACTGAATTCCCATGTTTTTTGGGACACCCTGTAGGTTAAAAGTCTTCAATTCTGATCATTCCTAAATACGTTTTCCTGTCGTAGAAATGCGCAAGTCACTTTAATAAAGAAACCACGTATGAAAAAAAAATCAGTTTTGAAAACTATAAACATTGATATATAATTAATATTTGATCAGACAACGCTTTCAAGGGTACCATGATATATCGGACACTGAAATTACGCTTACAGTTCCTTTATATATTCTATCGGAGATTTTTTTCATTTACAACTAAATACGTAGTTGGCTACATTTCAAAAGTTCAACAAAAGTCAGAAAATTCAATTTTTCCAGGTTAAACTGAGATTTAAAAGTTGTGCTCGTGTAACCCTGTATACCCCTAGGTGTAGAGATGTAAAGAAAAATAAACATTTTCCGTTCCACCCTGTACACTTTGCAGTGGATTTACCAAGGCATTCTTTTCTTCAAGACCACCCTTCATACTTAGGAACCAACTCTACGCTGGTAATTCATAATGCAGACAAGTATACGCAGAATCTAGAGTGTTATCAGCAAATAGATCAGAATCTAGAGTGTAATCAGAAAATAGATCAGAATCTAGAGTGTAATCAGCAAATAGATCAGAATCTAGAGTGTAATCAGCAAAGAGATCAGAATCTAGAGTGTATTCAGCAAATAGATCAGAATCTAGAGTGTAATCAGCAAATAGATCATAATCTAGAGTGTAATCAGCAAATAGATCAGAATCTAGAGTGTAATCAGCAAATAGATCAGAATCTAGAGTGTAATCAGCAAATAGATCAGAATCTAGAGTGTAATCAGAAAATAGGTCAGAATCTAGAGTGTAATCAGCAAATACATCATATTCTAGAGTGTCATCAGAAAATACATCAGATTCTAGAGTGCAATCAGCAAGTAGATCAGATTCTTCAGGAAAAGAAACAGTTTTGTCAAACAAAAAACGAAACGGAGTTTAGTAAACGAAACACGTTAAAAAATTCTACGCAGTGCCTAGAAAGAAAACAATTTACAGTTGCATTTTCTACTCAGCCCCAAACTCAGGAACCACTAAATTATTTTGGTTAAAGTCTTAACCCATGTTGTAAAAAGGTTTATAACGAGGGCAATTAGATTGTCATGTTGCATTTCCTTCAGTTTATGTCTTACCCAGGAGAACTTTTATCATGGGGGTTTAGGAGCAAATTGGGTTTGGTTTTGAGTTTAGATACATATTTAGTTTGGTTTTGATTTAGATACAAATTTGGTATGGTTATTATTATTTATATATTTGGTTTGGCTTTGATTTAGATACACATTTGGTTTGGTTTTGATTTAGAAATATATTTGGTTTGGTTTTGATTTAGATAAATATTTTTTTTGGTTTTGATTTAGGTATATTTTTGGTTTGGTTTTGATCTAGAAATATATTTGGTTTGGTTTTGATTTAGACACATATTTGGTTTTAGATATATTTTCGGATTGGTTTTGATTAAGAAACATATATTTGGATTGATTTTGATTTAGAAATATATTTGGTTTTATTTCATTTAGATATATATTTGAATTGGTTTTGATTAAGATTTTTGTGTTGAGCTTTAGCAATATTTTTTTTTTGGGGGGGTGGGATTTTCAAAATATGCATTTTCTTAAGATAGAAATTTATTTTCAAATTTGTAAATCAATTTGGTTTGGTCTCTTCTGCAGAAAAGAGAGAGGAAACACAATATCTTCCAACGATGGCGGAGCTTTGACAATTTGGCGGAGTACAGGATTGGTGGTTTGGCGGAGTTTGGTATACTGGGTAACTCCTTGGCAGATATTGAAAAGATGTCCAGGGGAAACGGAAATTATTTCTTCAGGGAACAATCACTAAACATCAACAAGAATATTTGTCTAAAAGAAAACAAAATAAAGTAACAGTAAAAAAAAATCTGGAAATATCGAAATTGACATCAATACTCAAGTTATGAATTAAAATAGTCCAATTAACCTGAGGCATAGCAATTGTGTAGTGTATACAGACCCATTTCACTTTTTAATTAATTTTATAACTTACAGGTAAAGATATTTCCTTTATAACAACATCAAAAGCTTTTCAGTATTGATTTAATGTCGTCTTCCTATTCTACAGTTTTCTGTTTATCACTTTATATGTAAGTTTATACCTTTCGGATGACCTTCCATATAAAAGAGGGGTATGCCCGATTAACAACGCACCCATTAAACCTTTTTCTTACAAAAAGGAATTGAGTTTTTGCCACAGAGTCTGATTTTCTTATACCTTTAGCTGTGCAACACAATGTCGTAAACCTTAGATATTTCCAACTAGCAATTCTGTTGAATCATATAATCCAAGTTAGAAATATCCAAGATGTTCACTATCACGTTGTAAAGATATAGGGATTAGAAAATTTGAGTTTGTGGCAAACATTCAGTTCCTTTGGAAGATATACACATGTTGTCGAGCTTGAAAAGGGATTGTTTCTGAACATTTCCTTCAATATTTCTTAAACAGAAATATCGCCAATAACTTAAAGATAAATGCAGAGCTGAATCAGACAATAACATACCTTACTATAAATGGAGGGTTACATCAAATCATGTTTTCAGTTTCTTTAAATGTTTTGAACTTTATAACAAAATGTTGGGCTGATGAAAAGTATTTTTTTTGTACACTTTCCGTCAATTTTTTATTAGTGATTTTTTAGCTCCAGAGACAAAGAAGGTGTAGACTCTGCTCATGATGATAAAGTCCTTGCTGAACTTGATCACGCTGCAGTATGTAATCAAATTTCAATTGATCATAAAACAGTGGATCAAAGTGCAGTTGATCTCAGTACAGATGATCAGAATGCAGTGTGTCACAATAGAGTTGATCACAATACTATTGATCAAGCTGAAATGGATCAAAATACATTTTACCAACGTGCAGGTGGTCAAACTGGAGCTGAACAAGTTTTAATCAGAGGTCAAACTGGAGCTGATCAAGCTGTGATGAGAGGTCAGACTAGAGCTTATCAAGCTGTGATTAAAGGTCAAACTGGAGATGATCGAGCTGTGATTAAAGGTCAAACTGGAGCTAATCAAGCTGTGATTAGAGGTCAAAGTGGAGCAGATCAAGCTGTGATTCGAAGTCAAACTGGAGTTGGTCAGGCTTTGATTAGAGGTCAAACTGCAGCTGATCAAGCTGTGATTCGAAGTCGAACTGGAGCTGGTCAAGCTGTGATTAGAAATCAAACTGGAGCTGATCAAGCTGTGATTAGAGGTCAAACTGGAGCTGGTCAAGCTGTGATCAGAGGTCAAACTGGAGCTGATCAAGCTGTGATCAGAGGTCAAACTGGAGCTAATCAAGCTGTGATTAGAGGTCAAACAGGAAATGAAGAATTGTGTGAAAGCTCTGAGACAGAAATTGATGAAGACACTTTTATAAAACTTGATAAAGTGATTATAAAATTTCTTGATGAAGTATCAGAAAAAGACTTGAAAGAATGTAAAACAGAAATGGAAAGTCAAAAAGAATGTGACGATGACATTTTTGAACATGAAACTTATGAAGAACTTGAATTATATTCTTGTAAAGAGCTTAAAAACGATTCTAATGAAGAAATTGAAAATGATTCTAATGAAGAATTTAAAAATGATTCTGTTGAAGATCTTAAATATGATTCTGATGAAGAACTTATAAATGATTCTGATGAAGATCTTGAAAATGATTCTGATGAAGAACTTATAAATGATTCTGATGAAGATCTTGAAAATGATTCTAATGAAGATCTTGAAAATTATTCTGATGAAGAACTTGAAAATGAATCAGGAGAAGACATTTTCGATAATTTAAATAAAAAGGTTGAAAATAAATCTGAAATTGATGAAGAATTTGAAATGAAATCTGAAAGTGAAATTGAAGAAGTTGATGAGACGTCAGACGATGAATCTGCAAAGAGATTCAGCAACAAATTCCAGAAATTTCTCGGCACCAGGTATTCTTTTTTAACGTAAAATTTGATCAACTCTCCATTAAAAATATCGTCTTTGTTTCTGAACAAGACACAGTTTTTAAAAATATGTGCAAGCAACGAGAGTGGAGACATATTCGTTTAATATCTTGAAGTTGCGTATTTTAGAAAGTAGTATGTGTCAAATTGTGCTTTTTAAGAAAAATATTTCTCACTGAAAAAAAGATCGATCATATTAAAATACTTTGCACTTTTTATTTTTAACGTCCTATTTTTAAGATAAAAGTATTGTATAAAAGGTTTAAATATGGTTCATTCTAAAGATAAGATTATTTTTATTGAATGAGTGCTAAAAATAATTATTAAGAGCTATTTAATGTTCTAATTTATTGGCGATTACTTTAGAAAATAGGGTTCGTTGGATGAATAGAATTCAAATTAGATATATTGAATTTCTTGACAACTGGTCTTCATTAATTCAAATTTGAAATAAATCTATATAATAAAGCAAGACATTTCTTTGTATTAATTAAAATAGAAAAATTTTAGAAACCTACTTTTACAAACAATGAAAAAATGTGACACCGGCCATGGGGTTTAACACACGTTTTCCTTGGCGATTGATAGTATCTTAAATTGTTAAAATGTTTCAAAATCAACAAAACTGACTCGAAAAGAGACATGTGATTAAAAATAATTGCATTTTCAATAATGTACATTGAGCAAAATTACTTCAGTTAGCATTTTATTTTTGATATTAAGAAAACCCAATTTTGCTTTAAAACCTTACAGAACAACTATTAGATATTTTAGTGGCCAGTAAAAAAACTAGGGTCAGAGGAATTTGAAAGATTAAAACTTTGATTGGATGCTGGAATAGGGATGGATAATGGATAATGCAGTAAGGGGGGGGGGTGCATGGGGGTAGGGGGATATTGTCCTGGAATGTCAAAAGGTCCCCTGAGCCCAGAACATGGTCACAAGTCCTTTTCTGGATTATTTATGTTAGAATAGGATATTCAGAGAGTTCAATAAAAAACTTTTTTTTAAGAATAAAATTGACTTGAAGGAACTGAAGACAAAATTTTATTTATTTTAAAAGTAGCATCTTTTGGATTTACAACAGTATTCTAAAAACCTATACTTGATCAACAATAGTGAAGATATTTCTATCTTTAAAAGTGCTGAATTGTCAAATTTTTTTTATTTCTCTGCAACATGAATTTGCAATTTAATTTTACAAAGGATAAAATCTTTCTAGTTCAGAGATGGAAACTTTAACCCTATTCAGGCTGACGTCTAGATTACCCAAAATAGTCGAGGGGGGGGGGGTCCCAGGGCAGGGACCCCCCTTCTATTTCCTTATTGTGATACAAACCTATAACATTTGATACACTTTTGAAAAGCCCTTAGGTTCTACTTTCATAATCCGCAAAAAAAATATGGTACAGTGAAACCCTTAATAACGAACACATCGGAAGAATTTATCAAATGTCGTCTCGACAATTTTTCAATGAGTTTTATACTATAATACGTAAATTTCAGTATTTGCGAAAATAAATAAATAGCCATGAATATGCGGGAACAGTTTTAAAGAGTTCCATATAATCATTTAATTAAAAAACTAAATATCTGCAACAGTCCATTATCAGAAAGTGAAGAATACGACATTTGATGAATTCTTTCGATGGATTCGTTATTAAGGGTTTCACTGTATATCATTCATTTTTCCACAGAAAATACAACAGTACTCCACAGAAAAAGATTAACAATTGATTATTTAAATTTTTTTAACGATTTTCCCATAATTATAATACCCCTCAGGAAATTTTGGTTTTGTATTTTTCAATGCTAGACACTCGATAATCAAAGATCAATCATTGAGTGTTCGCGAAAATGAAAGAGGCCGGGTGTAGGCTTACGGCGAAAAATAAGCACTTTTGATCGCTACTAGTATTACTTCTCTGTTGCGTCTATAATGAGAAACTTGTTAAAAACGACTCATGCTGAAGAACGTACGTAACGTCCATGCAAATTCAGAAAGTTGCAACATTCAACTCGGATTGTAAAATAATCAATTTAATTCCAAACAAATCATTCAGATATGACAACCAATAGTCATCGGTTATTTTTCGACACATTCGTATATAGTTAATATTTCATGATATTTTTGATTTTTAAAAAATAATATTTTGCCGGCGCTAGATTTCGAACATTCCCGAAAAAATGAAAATGTCGCTTTCATTATCAAAAATCCTCGAAACAGGAATAAATGTTTTCAAAGGTAACTTTCAGATCGTAAAAATTAAAACAAATATTATGAAATACTAATATAAACGTCATGGGACCCCTCCATCCCCAGCCGGAATAGGGTTAAATGGGATATCCTTAATCCCGATCCCGGTTATTTAATCTGAAGATAAATAAAAAGAGGAGAACTTGCATTATTTAATTCGGAGATTAAGAAAAAGAGGAGATCAAGCATTGATCTCGATATCCAACTTTCTGAAGTGTTTAGCCTAGTTAAAGGTCTAAAGGGTTTATTTGGGCTTCCAATATGCCAGTGTAGAGTATCTGCACTTGCTTTAAAATTCCAAAATATGCTTTAGTCTATGTGGGGGGGGAAGAAGGTTGTTGATATTGACATTAACCTTCAGATTAAAAAATTTACGCAAAATGATGAAAACTCATCAAAAATGCGTTGGTTGGACGGAATCAATTATCTTGAGGTTCAGGGACTGAATGCCAATAAAATTCACGCTGTTTTTCACGCAAAGAACAAAACTTATAAAGAATCATATATCAAAGGCGCAATTAACGGTTGTGAACATGTTCTCTTTTTGTACATCGTAATACAAAACAAAAAGTTCGCAGATTTTAAAACAAAATTTTGTGAGGTCCCACACAAAATTTGGGCCCGCTCGTTTCAGCCGTTTTGACGTTTATTGGATGCAAACAATCAGACAAACAAGCTTAATTTATAAAAGTTTACTTTAGCTCACAAAATACAAAAATAAATATTCTTGAGTTGTTTTCATAATTTCTTAAGATCTTAAAAGGACTGTAGGCATAACTCTTACACAGTGATCCAAAGGTTGTAAGCTCTCACTCAAAAATAAATGACAGTTTTTACAATAACACTTTTATTTTGGTTTGCAGTGTTATGAAGTTTTTGGACTGAAATTTTCTCTTTATCGAGAAGGTTCTCGCCTTTTTAGATTTAATTTTGTCCCGAGCATTAGTGAGGGACAAAATATACTCTATATACAAAGCGAGAACCTTTGAGATTTAAGTAAAAAAACTTGATAGCACGTCAGGCCAAAATAATAGTTTTACAGGTAATTTGTGTTCATTTGATCAAAAATGAATGAGATAAATACCTTTCTCTCTCAAATGACTTGAAGATTTATGCAACAGTTGGAATATTTCAGGTTTATAGGGTACCGTTGTGTGAATCAGATATAGGGTACCGTTGTGTGAATCGGATATAGGGTACCGTTGTGTGAATCGGATATGGGGTACCGTTGTGTGAATCGGATATAGGGTACCGTTGTGTGAATCAAATATAGGGTACCGTTGTGTGAATCGGATATGGGGTACCGATGTGTGAATCAGATATAGGGTACCGACGTGTGAATCGGATATAGGGTACCGTTGTGTGAATCAGATATAGGGTACCGTTGTGTGAATCGGATATAGGGTACCGTTGTGTTAATCGGATATAGGGTACCGTTGTGTTAATCGGATATAAGGTACCGTTGTGTGAATCGGATATTGGGTACCGATGTGTGAATTGGATATGTGTGAATCGAATATATGGTAACGATGTGTTAATCGGATATATGGTACCGTTGTGTGAATCGAATAATGGGTACCAATGTGTGAATCAGATATAGGGTACCGTTGTGTGAATCGTATATAGGGTACCGTTGTGTGAATCGGATATAGGGTACCATTGTGTGAATCGGATATAGGGTACCATTGTGTGAATTGGATATAGGGTACCATTGTGAATCGGATATAGGGCACCGTTGTGAATCGGATATAGGGCACTGTTGTGTGAATCTGATATAGGGTACCGTTGAGTGAATCGTGCATAGGGTACTGTTGTGTGAATCGGATCTAGGGTACCGTTGTGTGAATCGTATATAGGGTACCGTTGTGTAAATCGGATATAGGGTACCGTTGTGTGAATCGGATATAGGGTACCGTTGTGTGAATCGGTTATAGGGTACCGTTGTGTAAATCGGATATAGGGTACCGTTGTGAATCAGATATAGGGTACCGTATTATGAATCGGATATAGGGTACCATTGTAAATCAGGTAAAGGGTACCGTTGTGAATCGCATATAGGGTACCATTGTGAATCGGATATAGGGTACCGTTGTAATACTGAATAAAACTCTTGAAATGAAAGACTACTTAAAATTACGTGGACAGTTACTATAAGCTGTTTACTCAACCTTTTTTTGTGTTTTTATAACTTATTAGACACACGTCTGAGTGTATCTGTATTTGTTTGTTTATTTGTTTTGTGGGTTAGAATTCTTACAGCTTTTTTACAATTCACAGTTTTAAACCAGTTTTAAACCAGTTTTAAACCAGTTTCAAACCAGTTAATTGTGAAAACCAAGTTAAATCATGTACGTTGTTAAATCAGTTGTTGTTGTTGTTGTTGAGGTAATACATGTATAGTGATGAGCATCAACAGCTTTCACATTTTTAATGTGTTCTCAAATCTCATAAGACGATCCATGTTCCATGCAATTTCAGAGAAAAGATAGTTAAGCAGATTTGATTTTTAAAAAATTGCAACTTTTCTTCTCTCTTAAACATGTTAAAATGGGATAAATTATGACAAATGTATGATTTTGTATACAACAAAAACGTATTTTTGACAAATGGAAATTATGACTTTTGTTATCTATGACTTTTGTAATTTATGAAAAACGTAGTTTATAAAAATCGTATTATGAAAAATGTATTTATGAAAAACATATTTATGACAAACATATTATGACTTTTGTTACTGCGTCAATAGATATACCACTCTTCAGTTGGAACCCAATAATGTAAGAAAAGTGTCATCAATTATGGAGCACACTGTATGGTGCACAGAAAGTCGGGTTTGGGTCTGCTAACCTCAATTCTATAGATATCTCATTATAATGTATTAGTCTAGTTTTTGGGCCCTTAGGGGCATCTGACTTTAAATCCATTTTTTAATTTGAACGTGTTAAAAAATTCTCGACACTGCTATAATGGCCTTGATCTTGTTGGTTTAAAGGGAGTGTTCGCGAAAAATGAAAGGGGGTATAGGTTTACGGCGAAAAATGATCGATGGTGATTGCTACTTATCTTTCTTCTATCTGTTGCGTCTAAGGAGAAATTTATTTAAACGACTCACACCGATTCAGTCTTTACAAATTCAGATAGTTGGAACATTCGACTCGGATCGTTAAAAATAAATTCAATTCCAAACAAATCACTCAGATATTACAACCTATAGTTATCGATAATTTTTCGGCGCATTCGTATCTAATTAATATTTTATAATATTTTTGGTTTTGTTTTTAAAAATATAATATTTCGCTTTCAACTTGTTTTCAAGTCTGTCGCTGGATTTTCGAACGTTCAAGGAAAATATGAAAATGTCGTCTGTATTATTAAAAATCCTCGAAACAGAAATACAAATTTTCAAAGGTATCTTTCAGACAAAGTGTGTGTGCAGAAAATGCTAAAATCAATGAAATTCCAATATTTTTGTGTAAATACCATTGCATTGTCAGTACAAAAGGATATTAAGCTATTTAACTGTTTTGAATGTTTTAAAATTGTCAATTTTATAGATCCTAAAAGTGCATTAGTGTACACTTAGCGGGCATTAAAAATCCATAAACTTTAAGGGTTCCGAAAAACTGTAAAAAAAAACCCCCAATTGTTACGACTTTTTGTTTTAAAAATGTTTTTAAAAAATTCGATTATCCTTTTCGTAGTCCTTATCTCACTATCTGTATATACAACTATCTAACTCTCTGTATATCCAAGTATCTAACCATCTGTATATCCAACTATCTGACTATCTGTATATCCAAGTATATGACTATCTATATATCCAACTATATAACTATCTGTATATCCAACTATATAACTATCTGTATATCCAACTATCTAACTATATGTATATCGAACTATCTAACTATTTGTATATCCAACTATCTAACTATCTGTATATCCAACTATCTAACTATCTGTATATCCAACTATTTAACTATCTGTATATCCATTATCTATCTTTATATCCATCAATAACTATATGTAAATCCAACTATATAACTATCTGTATATCCAAGTATATAACTATCTATATATCCAACTATATAACTATCTGTATATCAAACTATCTAACTATCTGTACATCCAACAATACAACTATCTGTATATCCAACTATCTAACTATCTTTATATCCAACTATAACTATATGAAAATCCAACTATATAACTATTTGTATGTCCTACTATATAACTATCTGTATATCCAACAATACAACTATCTGTATATCCAGCTATATATCTACCTTTATATCCAACCAGCTGCCTATCTTTATATCCAAATATCTAACTATCTGTATATCTAACTATCTATCTATCTTTATATCCAACCATCTACCTATATGTATATCCAACTATCTAACTATCTGTATATCCAACAATCTAACTATCTGTATATTCAACTATATAACTCTATCTGTATTTCCAACTATCTATCTATCTTTATATCCAACCATCTACCAATATGTATATGCAACTATCTAACTATCTGTATATCCAACTATTTATCTATCTTTATATCCAACTATAACTATATGTATATCCAACTATCTAAATATCTGTATATCCAGCTATCTATCTATCTTTATATCCAGCTATACTATATGTATATCCAGCTATACTTTATGTATATCCAACTATCTAACTATCTGTATATCCATCTATTTAACTATCTGTATATCCGAATATCTAATTATCTGTATATCCAACTATCTAACTATCTATGTTTTAGGATGGAATTCAACCACACCTCTTCCTACCACTCAGACACTATGCTCTCAAGGTTTTATACGGATACATAATCCTAGTCTAATCCTATATATGTTTAATCCTATAGATACATATTCCTAGATACATAATCCTAAATACACATCCTATATATGTCTAATCCTAGATTCATAATTCTGGTCTATTCCTATATATATGTTTAATCCTAGATAAATAATCCTAGTCTAATCCTATATATGTTTAATCCTAGATTCATAATCCTGATCTAATCCTATATAAATATATGTTTAATCCTAGATAAATAATCCTAGTCTAATCCTATATATGTTTAATCCTAGATTCATAATCCTGGTCTAATCCTATATATATGTTTAATCCAAGATAAATAATCCTAGTCTAATCCTATATATGTTTAATCCTAGATTCATAATTCTATTCTAATCCTATATATGCTAAATCCTAGATAAATAATCTTACTCTAATTCTATATTTGTTTAATCCTAGATTCATAATCCTATTCTAATCCTATATTTGTTTAATCCTAGATAAATAATCTTACTCTGATCCTATATTTGTTTAATCCTAGGTTCATAATCCTAGTCTAATTCTATATTTGTTTAATCCTAGATATACATTATCCTAGTTTAATCTTTTTTAAGCTTAACTTTAGATACATAATTTGATGTCTGGTCCAGAGGATTTTTCCCGAGTGGCAACTTCCCAAATGTGCAATTTCCCAAGTCTGTCCTAGCCGCAGCGCTCAGACCCTTGACTGTTCTAGCCGCGGCGCTCGGCCCCCTAGACCATCCGAACCGCAACGCTCGGTCCCCAATGCAGCCTGCGGCGCCTCATAGGGTTTAACCTAACCATTGGGAAGTTGCCGTTTGAGAAATTGTCACTTAGGAAGTTGCCCTTGGGAAAATGCCTTTGGGAAAGTACCCAACACCCATAATTCTGGATACATAATCCTAGATAGATTTCATCCTGTATACATATAATATTAGATATATATAATCCTAGATAGATTTCATCCTGTATACATATAATATTAGATATATATATAATCCTAGATAGATTTCATCCGGTATACATATAATATTAGATATACATAATCCTAGATAGATTTCATCCTGTATACATATAATATTAGATATATATAATCCTAGATAGATTTCATCCTGGATACATATAATATTAGATATATATAATCCTAGATAGATTTCATCCGGTATACATATAATCCTAGATTTTTTCGCATTTTAGGCATAAAAAATAAATTGTGATAGCAAATATTTTCAAAAATATTATTGGAACCGTGAAAAAAATCTAAAAATGACATTTTTTTGAAAAAATTTTAAATTTAAAAATGTTCATTCTATTGTTTCATAAAAATTTATTAGATATAATGAAAAATGTAAGCCAATTATTTGCGTTTTGAAGTAATAATTTTTGCGAATTTTCTGTTATATCTCATTTAATTTATACTGATTTTTTTTTATTTTGAAAACATTAATGTAACCATTTGGGTTCGTGCATNTAACCCTGGAAATATTTAATCCTAAATATATTTTATCCTAGATAAATCTAATCCAAGAAGTCTAATTCACATATAATCCTGGAAATATTTAATCCTAAATATATTTTATCCTAGATAAATCTAGTCCAAGATGTCTAAATCAAGATACATATATTCCTGGAAATATTTAATCCTAAATATATTTTATCCTAGATAAATCTAATCCAAGATGTCTAATTCACATATAATCCTGGAAATATTCAATCCTAAATATATTTTATCCTAGATAAATCTAATCCAAGATGTCTAAATCAAGATACATATAATCCTGGAAATATTTAATCCTAAATATAAAAATGAATATGTACATTGTCGGAGATATTCTAGGTATGTTAACATATCATTAAATCGAATCCAATCCGAAAATAAATAAATTAATCCCTAAACAATCTAAAAATACCTTCCATACAAAACTTTATATCCCTGCACCACTATATTCTAGGGGTATAATGTGGATACTAAGGAGGGGTCGAAAAGTCATCAGAGCGGTTGAGGGGTAGGGGGAAGTGGGGGTTTCAAGAAAGATTGTAGTTATAAAAAGGTTCTCATTGTATTCTAACTACAAAAGTACATTGGAATGAGATATAAAGGGAATTTAAAGAATTTTAGATAATGTTCAAAATCGTTAAACTGCTTGTTCTCTGGTGCATATATATATATAGATTTTGCATTGTTTAAAACCTGTCAACTTTGTATTTCTGTACTCTGTACCAATGTATCCCTGTATTTTGTATCCTAATTCATGGGATCTGCATCATTGTATCCTGCATTATATCCTGTATTCTGTATCTTATATAAACCCTGTATCTTGCTTGTACCATACCCTGCAACCAGTATCCTGTACCATATTATGTGTGTATGTACTATGTAGCCTGTATACCACTGCGCCACATGTACGGTTAGAGTTTAAATTGTGCATATACCATGTACCATCCTCGAACTTTTTATACTAATTTGTTGAGAGGAGTTTAAGTTCTTACTTGCATACTTTAAGTATCGTGGAACCAGGGTTTATTTAACTGTTTTTGTTAAATATTGCTGAATGTTTTGCAAGAATATTATCTAAGTGATTATGTTTTCAATAATGTTTCATGGCAGCAGAGGGGGGGGGGGGGCTATTTAACTTAACTAAATGGATGGAGTTAAGCCATAGATACCCAAGCCTTTTTTATCAAAATTTAAAGTGACACATTAGAGTTGTATACTTGTGTTGAATTCTGTCAACTTCATTTCTTCTCTCTGCCGCTTAAATCCGCAAAGAATTTCCAAAGAAATTTTCAAATTTGAAATTATGAATTTTCAGTTTTCAAGACAAATTGTGTCATTTTTGCTCCAAATATGGTTTAAGGGCACAGTAATCAACCGGGCATGGAGTTCTTTAAATGGAAGTATTTGACAGTCCCTTTAAGTTTGGCCAAAAAATATACTTTTTGTATTTTTGTGTGAATATACTTTGTTTCATGCTGAGAAGAAAAGGCTTTGTAAAGGTGTGTATATCCATTGATTGAGTGATTGGCGGGTTCTAAGCTAACTGTGTAGGTGTGTGTGAAGGTAGGTGTGGTGTAAGAGAGAGAGAGAGAGGTTAATAGTTTAATTGTTGTGTGTAGTGTGTGATGGGGTAGATATATATGTAAATGCAGAAGAAGGTATGATGTAGTATCAAGCAAATGCTTAAAAATAGATACTAAATATACAACGACCTCCTCACAATACAATACAAGCAGATAGGGGGGAGGGGGAAGGGAGGATGGAAGAATAGGTTAGGTTGATGGAAGGGAGGATGAAAAAGTAGGTTAGGGAGATGGAAGGGGTTGGAAAAGGAGGTTAGGTTGATGGAAGGGAGGATGGAAAAGGAGGTTAGATTGATGAAAGGGAGGATGAAAAAGTAGGTTAGGGAGATGGAAGGGAGGATGGAAAAGGAGGTTAGATTGATGGAAGGGAGGATGGAAAAGGAGGTTAGGGAGATGGAAGGGGTTGGAAAAGGAGGTTAGGGTGGTGGAAGGGGGGATGGAAAAGGAGGTTAGATTGATGGAAGGGAGGATGGAAAAGGAGGTTAGGGAGATGGAAGGGAGGATGGAAAAGGAGGTTAGGGAGATGGAAGGGGTTGGAAAAGGAGGTTAGGGTGATGGAAGGGGGGGTGGAAAAGGAAGGTAGAGAGATGGAAGGGGGTTGAAAAAGGAGGTATGCAGGATGAAGAAAAGGGGGTGTATAAAGAAAGGAAGGAGACAGGAAGGAGTTTAAGTTTGTTTAAATTCTGAATAAGAGTTTTACAGCATGATGAGTTACACGCGATGAATGAGGCACAGAGATATCTAGACGGATAAGAAAATTGTGCATCAATTTTTAAGACTGGGTCAACTTTGAAGTTTCGTAATGTTTTGGTTTTTGATTTGAGCTTACTAATTCGCTTATACATTTTTGTAGCCCTAAACAATATACATCTACTTTTTAGATCTATAACAAGCTGGTTTCTAGCTTCACTTTAAAAGAAGTAATTCTGATTTGTTTAGCGTAAGAGTTTGCACATGTTGGACCTATGTGGAGGGTATTTGGATGAGGACAGATGAAGGAATGAAGGAATGTAATTTCTAACCTTTTTACAGTTTAAAAATCCTCCATACTCCTCGTAACATATCTACAGATATATACAAAGTTACCCACAAAGAATGAGACGACATAAAACTCATATAATACGATTATCCCATGGTTAAATTAGGTCTCTGTCCTAACATATAATCTTTTTATGGTTTATTAAGAGATTTACCAAGGAAAGAATCAAAGTACAGTTGCAAGGAATCATGAATATAAGGATACAAACAGTATAAATTTCGTAGAGTCATCTCTGAAGTCTCATCTTTTCTGGGTAACCCTGTATATATACAGAGCGTCCCATATATTATCTCCAATCTTCAACACCAAAATAAACCCTTAATACTCGAAAAACTTATCATATTCCGCAAGAAAATTCTTATATACGCCTTATGTTATTTTTCAAAATGATTCATTCTAATGAAATTTTCTAATTAGTCCCGAAAATTGTAATTTAGACCCGTTCTCGGTCTAATGTGATGTGGGACACCCTGTATATATATATACAGATATATAGACATATAGATATATAAGTATATATCTTGAGTTTATGTGAACATTTTACAGACATTAAGGTCTCGTTAGCAGGAGAGTAAATAGTTACAATAGCAGACGAGTTTACAATGCACTGTGCTTTGATGCGCCCCTTAGAAATTTATATAAATCTGATCTCATTTTAGAATAGTGTTTTATTTATCAAGGTAAAAAAATGAGCCCAATCGGTTTAGCCGCGTTGACGTTTTTGGACACAAACTAACAGATAATCAAAGAATTTGCGTCTTTGACACAAACTGAAATTTCTTATCCTCATATCTTTGCAACCTGATTATGTAAACCTTTGATAAGTCAAACTTATAATTTTTGATCTAACAGAAGTCATAGTTTGGATTATTTAGGGTGTACATTAATGGGTTGCAAAGATATAGGGATTCAAAAGTCAGAGTTTGGGGCAAAGACTTAATTCCTTTAAGTATATATTATAAAGATTAGATTTTTAAAAATTTATATTTTATGTTACAGTGAAAGCTGATTCTATCTGATTTATATAAAACCCTCAAGCCTTGAAGAGCGCTCAACAGGTCGAACCATGAATCTAAACTAAAAATAAAACTAATTTCTTGCTTGTTTGTGCTGTAGTTAAAACTAGGCTTAAGTGATAAACAGTCACCAAAAATTGAGTTTCGTAACAAAAAAGTGATTTGAAAAATATACAATATACAACTTGGATAAGTATAAAAACTAGATAAAGAAGGTGTATAACAACTGTAGTTTATCAAGATCCCAGTTGCAAAATTTAATTGATAAAATAAAAGATGCATTGTTTGAAAGACAAATGTAAGGTGATATAAACCTTAGCATCGCTGGAGTTCAACCCTAGGCCTGGGTTCACATCTCTCAACAAATCTCTCAGGAGTTCTAATTTAAATCTCACATCAAACCCTTTGATCCGAACCCTGTATAGTGAACAAGAGTTGAAAACTTTACAGTTCATAAATTTAAAGATACTTTTTTTCCTCCTTCCATAATGGGTTGTTATTAAAGGCTGGGTTCTTGTGGTGGGATATTGAGAAAGTGATTGTATGAGCTCCAGGTATCCGTATACATAGGTCCGGACCCGGGACCAGTCTATACCCAACCTTGCACCAGGATACATCCACGCTCCAGTCTCCAATCCAACCCAGAGATCAGGGATCCTACCAGTAAACTTGAGCCCTAAACCAGTGATTATTTACACAAATGAAGGAAGAAAATGTTGTTATAGATTTGATATTTTACCCCAGGCGGCGTATTCTTCTTCTTTTGAGTCTTTTAATCTTAACAATCCCGGGCTCTTGTCATTAATCCTGAAACTAATGAGCTGAAGGAGCTGAAGTGATATTTCTAACAGTTTCCAGATAAAACATAAAGTTAAGTTGGAAGGAAGGTCAACGTAATTCTTGGATAATGATTTATGAAGAAACATTTTTTATTTAATCCTGTACTTTTTCATATTTTTTATAACAGTCAGAAATAAGAATATTATATTTATTGTGTCGCGGAATAAAATGTTTAAGAAAATTATCGTTTCTCTCCCCCCTCCTTACCGAATATTAAAGAACCTGTAAACGTAATATCCAGTGAAAATCCATTTAAAGATCAGTATGTTCGATTCACAACGGTGTCCTTGAAACCTTTTCCTGGGCAACAGCAAGGTGATATCCCTCTTTTTCCGTCTTAAACGTGATTATTTTTAATCGCAGTTCTCTCTTAAAGTTACTTGCAACGCTACAGGAGCGAAAGAGGAAATTTGTCAAAATGCAGTTGTTTCTCAGACAATACTTTTCAAGGCTCCGTTGTGAATTTGACATGCCAGCTCTTACCTGGAGGGTCACTTGAAAATACGGATACCGTCCCTTTAAACTCTTAAACAGTTCCCATTCACGATTCTAATTTAAATCTTAAATTCTCTCCCGTCATCAAACAAATATCAGAATCAGAAACTTTGAAATTATTTTCAGGCTAAACCCTCGCTCCGGGCTCAGCCGCGTAGAATTGACATGGTTGAAATTGGTTTTTAGAAAGATTATTAAATTCAACTTGTTGAGCGGGGGGGGGGGGGGGGGGCTGTCGTTAGAATATAATCTTTGAAACTTTCGACACTTAAACGAAAAACACGATTGCTTTCCGTATTTTTTACTGAATGTCCCCATGTTCATTTCATTACTGGAGGTTGGATCTAGGATGTAAGATTGATACTCCGAGCCGCAATAAACCCTGCTCCAGGCATGGTGAAACCGGAGGAGAAGAGCCTCACGGCTCCTATTTCCCTTCCCAGCTCCCAAGGGCGAAAAACCCGCAAAGCGTCTCGAACGGGCGCAGCGGCGCGTTTACCGATCGTTCGGGCGCAAATAAGACTTCCAAATGACTTGAATGAAAAAATGCCTTCAGCTCCGTGCACCCCTGTGAACATAAGAAAAGATATTCAGTTATCTAAACTAGTGGAGGAACAGGGTTCCTCAGTTGACCGAACCAGCCTCCAAGCTAGCCTTCAGGTCGAAACTGTTCACGACCTTCAGGTTGAAAAGAAACCGGCCCCGAAGTCTGTGGCCTCCATGGTTCGAAGGTAAGATTTTTATCTAAAACCCCCCTGGCCAATTTCCTCATTTGTGATGATATGGACGCGCGAAAGTAAACCAACAAAAGTGAACGCGTTAAAGTCTATATACAGGGTTACCCACAAAGGATAAAACTTTAATGACGACCTGGAAGGAGTTCAATAAAGCTTTATCGTGAATAAAAATGAGTTGCTTTGTCAAATAAAGAGACAAGTTGACCATACAGCTAGCAATGTGAAGAAAAAAATTCTGTAAGCTCTTTAATGTCTTATTCTTTGTGAGTGACCCAGCATATCATTACAAAATGCTGAACGCGAAGCAATGTCAATCCTATCGTGAAAATTTATTATTTAAATATAAAATATTTTTTACACTGAAAACCTTATGTTTCTAATTTGTAAATGTCAGAATCGTATAAATTATACATTTAAAATTTTCGGGGAATAGTGACACGAAACTAGGGACCAGGAGGAATATATGTTAAAGGGAGGTATATTTTAAAGGGACTAGCACCAGGAGGTATATATTAAAGGGACTAGGACCAGGAGGTATATGTTAAAGAGACTAGGACCAGGAGGTGTATATTAAAGGGACTAGGACCAGAAGGTATATATTAAAGGGACTAACTGAAGACATTATTTTAAGTGTCTGCCATGTCCGATTCAGAACGATACTTTGTTAATCCTTTGATTTGTGGAGTGAGGGTATACACTGTTACGGTATTGCAATATTTGGGAAGGATGGGAAGGATATGTCATGTTGTATGAAGTATAAATTATCCAATATTGTTAATTTGCATTAAACTCTCGATATCCCTGGAAACTAAGGGTTAGACGTTAAGTTGTATCTTGTAAAGTTAACTAAACAGAATTGAACATTAAAGAGGATTGTAAGGAAATTATCCAGTATTGATTCTTACATTTATGCTTCCCTGCAGCTCTACACATATTTCTTTCGTTTTCAAATCCTTTAATTTAACATTTGAACCATTAGATCCCATCATGATCATGTTTAAAGAATTACCAGTCGATATTAAGTCTCATCCTTTGTGGGTAACCATGTATTTACTACGTGTTACACTTCTAAGCTTAATATACAAATTTCATCTTAAAGGTTACGTTTCTAAATCTTGCAGTTAAGGATCACTCACATTTCGTTAATTGTCTCCTGCACAGACAATGATTTCTCACCTTTATGTTTCAATATTTGAATACATTTATGTGTTGCGAGACCCCAGATTATTAAATTAATTAAAAAGTATAAATTAATCACGAACACCATTATGAATCAGCGAATTTAATTATTCCAACAAGATTAATTGTGTTTCTATTAAATTGACAGTCTTCAAAATTAATCGAGTTTAATTTACTCAATACTCTGAGGAAAATAATATTTAATATAAAGGGACGGTGAAATTATTTTTAAAATTTGGACACTATTTAGTAATTTCAAGTTACCCGTCCCTTCATGCAAAGAGATGTCAATGCCCGATTTACAATGGTACCTTTACAAGGTTTGTCTGATCAAGTATGAATTAGTTTTCACTGTTTTTGTTTCTTTAAATGGCAATGGAAAAGTTTTTAGGATAAAAAACTTTTCGAGTCGGAAAAAATCTTTCAAATTTTTAATCACTTTAAGAATTCTAGGGTACTGTTGTTAATCGGGCGCTGTCATCTTTGCAGGAAAGGTCACTTGAAATTACGCTTACAGTCCCTTTAAACAGATAAAAGTTGTCTGATTTTCCTAACAAATTTCTGCAGAATCACTTTTATTAAAAATAATCAATTTTCAGATAGAAACCAACATCAAATCTATTTGGAGATAAAATTCATATTCTTGATTCTTTTTAATTTAATTTCTAATGCTTTGAATATGATCGTATCATTTTAACAAATCACATTTAGCCGAAGGATGAGGGAGGAGGAGGAGATGCCCTCTACACGCTGTTGAGGGAAATAAATCCTATTTTTCAATAGTCTTCACCCAAGCAGAGTTAGGCAAAAAGACAACTGCATGCAACTTAATGGTTTACAATCGTAATCATTAGTGTTAACACGCCCAATACCAATACACCACACTTTAATCCCACATTAAACTCTACACTTTATATTCACATCTTTTACACTATACACTTTAATCCCACATTAAACTCTACACTTTATATTCACATCTTTTACACCACACTTTAATCCCACATTAAACTCTACACTTTATATTCACATCTTTTACACCTCACTTTAATCCCACATTAAACTGTACACTTTATATTCACATCTTTTACACCACACTTTAATCCCACATTAAACTCTACACTTTACATTCACATCTTTTACACCTCACTTTAATCCCACATTAAACTCTACACTTTATATTCACATCTTTTACACCACACTTTAATCCCACATTAAACTCTACACTTTATATTCACATCTTTTACACCACACTTCTATCCAAAATAAACTCAACTTTATATACCCATCTTATACACTACACTTTTATCCCACAGTAAACCACACTTTAATCCCACAATAAACTGTACGTTTTATTCCCATTTTTTACTTTAGTTTTTATTCCCACTTTTATTCTACTTAGTATTCCTGCAACAACCTAAGTATTCCCATCTTAAACTGTACTTCCTAATTCTATCTTAAACTGTACTTCCTAATTCCATCTTAAACTGTACTTCCTAATCCCATCTTAAATTGTACTTCCTAATCCCATCTTAAACTGAACTTCCTGATACCATCTTTAAGTAAACATTAATCCCATTCTAAACTGTTCTTAATATTTAGACATTAAATTCACTTCTAAGTCTAAATCATTTAGTAAAGGTCTAGTTTCTAAGGCATATCTCCTATCTATGGAATCTTTTTATGGATGAGGGAGGGGTGGGGGGGGGGTAAAAAGGCCTGAGTTGTTGGCATACTGCCTTGCCCAGGACCACCTTCGTTCACGTTCAATTATAAATTGTTACAGTACATATCCTTGTTGATTTTTTAGTTAACATTTTAGTGTTAATAGACCCCGCCCTTACAAGGGCTGTTGGGGGTCAAATATAAATTTTTCAGTTTTAACAAACTAAAATCATATTTTACTGTGGGCTGTTAAGGCCTTTTATCTTGAAGCACACCCCAATTTTGCATTTTAATCTGTAGTAAAAAGCTGAGTAGAACGTGAGCTGGCATGTTTAAGTCTGAAATATTATAAATCATGAGAAATTTTGAATTACTTAATCAATATTTCTGCCCAGTCACCTGCAAAGTATTAGTTTACGCATACAGGAAAACAAAATAAAAACCCGTAATTAATTCACTTTAATTTGACGCAAAATTGGCGAAAATCATTATTAAATTGATCTGAAATTGATCATAGTGTTACTACTACTAGATAATTGGAGTTATCAATCTGTTATTCCAAAAATGTAATTAATACGAACAAAGTATAAGAAATATTCACAATAAAAAGTTATTTTATAAATTGCAATTCATCTTGAAACGGCGCGATCACATCTATTATCAAAACAAAAAAGTATTTGAGACAGTTTTAGTGGAAATTGAACATAAGAATTTCTCAAAAAAAACCTCTTTGTAAGTTTATCAGAATAGAAAAAAATTATAGAAAAGTATATTCCCAAAGATATGTTTGCATAATGTTATGACAACAGTTTCTGACAGAAATATAAACAAACTTGTTTTGTTTACATTCCTCCCAAAAACTGCAGTACACTTATTTGTAAAGAAAAACTTGTGTTTTCGTGTTATATCCTCCCTGGGTTGTGTTTTCAGCTCCGCTTTTGCTTAAAGAAGATAATTCTGGAACCAAAAAATTATAATGTAAAGATAGTTATTTTAGAGGTGTACACATTTTGTGTACTGCAGTGTACTGTCTCTGGGTTATAAAGTAAACTAAAGACTGATGTCACATTCTGACATGGGATCCAGCTTTCACATAAAAAATCAATGAACTATTCTGGTCATAGGTAACTATTATGTGAATTATCAAAATTATCAAAATTAAATGCTTTTATCCTCCTCGGATACTAAAGGAACACTGATGCATCTATTCTTGTTTACAAATTCCGCCCAGAGAGAACTGGTTTCAATATGAACACAGAGAATACGCAATTAATTTTCCTTGCATTATTTACCTTACCTGGGACCACCATATTTGTCGTTTAAAACCATTTAAAACCGCGTTTCTGTAGTTTCTGACAGGAACATAAATAAACGGATTAGTATTGTTTATATTCCTCCCAAAAAGTGCAATACACTTAATTGTAAACAAAGACAATGGTGTTCCTGATAGATCCTGCTTGTGGTTGGGTGTGTTTAGATCAGTGTATGATCTATATCAAGTGAGGAGTAGAGAAGATCAGGTATCTTGAGAAATATGAGAGAACAGAGCTGCATTGTCTTACAACTTGCAGACTTTAGTCTACACGTGTACGTTCACATTGGGCAATGGCCATCCTTGCAAGGACTCAAGCTAAAATTGTTCAACCCTATATCGGGGCAACCTTAGACTAATATCACAACAAGAAAATGGCTTATTTGGTGTACCGTCCCGCTTTCCCGGCTTTTATCTGTATGCCCAAGGTTATAGTGCAAGGACAGTTAATTGAAGTTGCGTATTCTCTGCGTTCATATTGAAACCAGTTCTCTCTGGGCGGACTTTGTAAACAAGAGCAGTGTTACTCTAGTATCCGAGGAGGATAAAAGCATTTAATTTTGATAATTTTGATAATTCACATATTTCATTGATTTTTTATGTGAAGAATAGATCCCATGTCAGGCTGTGACATCAGTCTTTTCTATACTTTACAGGCCAGAGAAAATACACTGCAGTACAAAATATGCATACACTTCTGAAAAAAACAATTTTTACATCATAATTCTTTGTGTATGCCTTTGCAATATAGTACAACTTGTCCTATACTGCCTAACTGTGCGGTACTTAGACAGTACACTAAAGTACAAAATATGCGATTACCTCTGAAAAAAGTTTTCGG